GATACCGCCACTACTGAAACTTTAGAATCTTAACCCCGAAATAAGGAAAACAATGGAAAGATGAACAAGCATGTCTACACCTATCCAGGTGATGCCGTTTTCAGTACATAATACACAAACGGTCAGACTTTTGTTACTGCTGTTTCGTTTTACACTATAAATGTGAAAATTTTTCATTTGGAATCCATGTATCTTTTTCCAGACTAAAATCCCTAATTCAACAGAAGATAGTTCTGAGAAGATTGGTGCTTCATTTTCTGGATGTGTATTCTGCACAGAATCATTGTGTTCACTTTTCACTATTGTAAGGAAGCAAGAACAGCCAAATCATTCCACAGTAATTCAGAGACGCTCACATCATCGTTCTGGACCACGGCAGCGTAGTAGTGGTGGTAGGCGAGGCAGAGGTTTCAGATGACTTTTTTGACATTTATTCAACAAAACAATTGTGAGTGTACTTTGTAGACAGTTACATTTCAAATCATATTACTCTGTACAGAATCATCAATTCTTTTTTTCGCTTGTATTTGTTCGGTGTTTTCAATTTTGACAGTTTAAATAGCTGAAAAAATAAATATATAATTTTTATTCCCTGAAGAATTCCGAACCAGTTTGTCAAAAGGAAGGCTGAAGTTACTTATTTCAATATCGCCGGCATTTTTACCAGTATAACTAATTCATCAAAACATAAACGGTAGTTATTCACTAGTCCTCGTAGTATGCATTTTTCCGTGAAATCATCTGCATGCCTTGGTACATCCTATTGTCCTTTCTGATTGCTGGACAATCCAGATTATCTTAGGATCTTCTTAGAAGACTTTATTCATTTTGACTGGTGGGACAATCAGTATCTATCGGTAGCTTTCAGATTCATACTATTCAATAAATTTAGTTTTCCGATTTGAAACTGTCCCACATTAAACTATTAAAGAGCTTGAGTGTAAGCCAGTCTGCTAGTGTTCAGCTGTCACCATAAGAATTATCACATAATTTAATTACTACTAAGATGTCAACAAAGTGAAGCTATGCTCAAGATGAATCGAGTGGGGAGTTTACTATTAAGCAAGAGATATTTCGTAAGAGGCAATTTAACGACAGTGATTTCCTCTATCAATACTGTCATCTCCAAAGGCTGTACATATATTTACTAAAGACGTAAATCTTTTCATAATTGACAGTTACTCAGAATTGGTTTCTAAATGTTTAAAAGAAATTAAGTGATAGTCAACCACACAATGTAAGGTAAGTTTTGAAATTTGATAAAGGGAAAATTATTACTATTCTACTTCACAAATGTGAAGGTGAGAAGAAAAAACCATTAAAATGCACAAAAGGGCATGTAAGAATTGCTTTCTAAAAATGGCTGCCAAAAAGTACGCAACACCCTAATATTTAAAACATTTGCTGCTCAGTTATGATACCAGACTGCTCTATTTGATAAACAGCTTTAAACCCGGACACAATGTTTACACACACTACTCTAAATTCTCAACGTATTTTATTGCGTGATGTCCACTCTTCCTCCAGGACCGTAAAGTATAATAATAATAATTGACAGAGTATATCGCAGGACGCAGTGCTATTCAGTCTGAAGCCAAAACTAATCCCCTATGTTATTTTTCTCTTATCTTCGAGAGATGCACAGTAGCAGGTTGCAAGCTGATCGAAAATGTATATGTCAGTACATTTAAGGTATGGAGGAAATTTGATGCTGCATGTTGGATGGAACCTCGCCTAGATTGCTAGCTCGCTAGTTTTCTAGCCAGTCCCAAACCCGGATAAAGAGGGAGGGTTGGGGTGTGGTGTTAGGGACTCCACCCCCAAAACTTAACCAAACTGCTACAGAAACTTAAACGCATAAATCTATTAAAAATATAAACAATAAACTTATTTTTCGCTGGAATCGGGGAAGTGAAATGACGCAGGCTGGTGAAAGCCTTCGGGAAGCCAGTCAGCCGATGTGCCTGCTTTCGATGAAAGCAAAAATAAGGATGGGGACTTGGAATGTTCGTACAATGTACGACGCTGGGAAGGCTGCCCAGGTAGCCGCAGAAATGGAAGTGTTGGGATTCTGCGAGAGCAGATGGAACGGATGTGGAAGGTGCCAACTGGAGAGGCAGTAATCTATTCCGGTCACCCAGAGGACAACCACGAGCACACCGAGAGGGTGGCCATCATGATGTCACCAACAGCAACCAAAGCTCTCATGCAGTGGGAACCAATCCCCTCCAGGATAATGACAGCTAGGTTCAACTCAAAAGGAAGGAAGGTTACAATCATTCAATGCTATGCGCCTATAAACGTATCGGAACAAGAGAAGAAGGAGGATTTCTAAAGACAACTACAAGCAGTAATGGACAACGTCCCAAATGGCGACATCAGAATCCTGATGGGTGACATGAATGCGAAGCTGGGAGAAGACAATACAGGAAGAGAACTCACCATGGGTCGCGAGGCCCTCGGTGAAATGAAGGACAATGGTGAAGTCTTCTCAGACTTTTGCGCTTTCAATGATTTGGTGATTGGTGGCAGTGTGTACAAACGCAAGGATATACACAAGGCGACATGGATTTCACCAGATGGACACACCAAAAACCTGATAGACTTCATTTCAATCTCAAGAAAGTGGAGACGGAGCCAACTGGACACAAGATCGAGGAGAGGAGCAGATGTGGGTTCAGACCACTATGTAGTACAAGGTGAAGCTAAAAGCCTCGAGGATAGCTGGAGATAGGCCACAATGCAAGTTCAACACTCACAAACTGAAGGACACAATCACACAGGACATTTTCACTGCAACTGTCAGAGCAAAGCAGGAAACACTACGTGGCACCACTGAGGAATCATCCGTGGAAGACCATTGGAACTCTCTGAAGGTAATTTTCAACGAAACGTGCTCAACGGTTTTAGGAAGAAAGAAGAAACAAGACAAGGAATGGCTCTCAACAGACACTTGGAAACTAATAGAGGAGAGGAGAAAAGTGAAAGAGAAAATGATTCAATGCAAAGATGGACAAGAGAAAGAGACGCTGAGCTCAACTTACACAGCACTGGACAAAGAAGTGAAGAAGAGTGCCAGGAAGGACAAAAGACAATTCTACGACAACCTGGCTACTGAAGCTGAGAAGGCAGCAGGCAAAAGGGACCTGAGGACACTATATCAGATAACCAAGTCTCTATCCGGGAAGAGATCAACACAAGTGAAACCTATAAAAGACAGCCAAGGGAACCCAATTACCAAAGAAGAAAGACAGATTAAACAATGGGCGGACCACTTCAAAGGACTCTTGAACCGACCACCACCTACAACCCGTCCAGTAATACCAACAACAGCACGTACACAACTGCAAGTTGACACCAATCCTCCAACGAAAACTGAAGTCATGAATGCAATCAAGCTTCTGAAAGCTGGAAAAGCAGCTGGACCAGATGGAATACCCCCGGAAGCACTGAAAGCGGACCCAGAAACGACGGCAGATATGCTGACTCCATTATTGCAAAAGATCTGGAAAGAGGGAAAGGTGCCTACTGACTGGAGGAAAGGTTACCTGGTGAAACTACCAAAGAAGGGCGACCTGAGACTCTGCAAGAACTGGCGAGGAATCATGCTCCTGTCGACGCCAAGTAAAATTCTGAGTCGCATCATCCTGGAGAGAATCAAGGACGCGCTGGATACAGAACTCCGCCAAGAACAAGCTGGATCCATGAAAGGCAAATCATGTTCTGACCAAATTGCAACTCTACGCATCATCATCGAACAAAGCATGGAATGCCAATCAAACCTCTACCTCAACTTTATAGACTTTGAGAAGGCCTTCGACAACGTTGACCGCGAAGTTATTTAGAAACTACTCGAGTACTACGGCGTACGCCAAATATTCATCAACCTTATTCAACAGCTGTACGACAACGGCACATGTCAAGTGATCCACAACGGAAAACTCAGTGAAGCGTTTGGAGTAAATACAGGAGTCAGACAAGGGTGCTTATTATCACCAATGATACTCCTAATTGTGGTGGACTGGATTATGCGTCAGACAGTGGGAAACGAGAGGACAGGGATATCCTGAACCGACGTGAAGAACCTAGAAGACCTGGATTTTGCGGATGATTTATGTTTGATGTCACGCAAAATCGAAGACTTACAAGCGAAAACCGACAAACTGGTCGAAGAAGCAGCAACGACAGGACTCCAGGTGAACATGGACAAGACGGAGATTATGAAAATAACCAACCAACAACAACAACAGCAGCAGCAACATCCAGCGCCAATCACCATCGACGGGAGGGATTTGAAAGAGGTTACTTCTTTCACCTATCTAGGAAGCATTGTCTCAACTACAGGAGGAACGGACGAGGATGTCAAATCGAGAATCGGCAAGGCGAGAAACACATTCATCAACCTGAAACCAATCTGGAAATCTTCGTCACTCCTCAGCAGCAACAATAAAATTTGGATTTTCAATACAAACGTCAAGTCAGTTTTGCTATACGGATCAGAAACTTGGCGGGTCACCAAGAATGTTTCCAACAGGTTCCAGACCTTTATCAACAACTGCTTTCGCTCTATACTGAAGATCAGATGGCCGGCCGGAAAGAATCACCAACAAGAAACTATGGAAACAAACAAAACAAGAACCAATCGCCCAACAAATATGCAGGAGAAAGTGGAGATGGATTGGACACTCGCTGAGGAGGCCGCTGGGTGACATCGCGCGTCAGGTCCTCGAGTGTAACACAAAAAGAAAGCGGCGAGTGGCACGTCCAAGGGTGACATGGAGGAGATCGTGTGAAGAGGAGTTGAAACAGAATGGACTAACATGGATGCAGGTGAGAAGTACAGCAGAAGAGAGAAGCAAGTGGAGACGTGTAGTTGAGGCCCTATGTTCCACTAGGAACCCAAGGGAACAATAATAATAATGTTGAATTGACGTTCAGGTAGTCCAATAATATGGAGATGCAACTGACTACTCGATGTAGCAGTTGTTTTATCAAACAGATTACAGATACTTTATTACGCCAACACAATTTGCATTTACGACTATTGGATAATTTATTTCATACATACTTGCTAATATTTAGAATTACGTAAATAATCTAAATCAAATATTTGTTGAGAAAACGTTGGTCTGGTTGTTCTTTTTTTGAGTTATGTTGTAAATTAGTCACAAACCAAGAATTATTTGATGAGGACGGCTGCACCTTGATGCAAGCAATTTAGTGTATGCCTCAGTTAATGTCCTCTGATTGGTATATTCTAGTTTTTGCTGACATCAGAACCAGTCAGCCGATCATAGCCTTTAGTTAGTTTCACAATAACCCATATGTGCAGTGTAAGGATTTGTTTTCACCTGTGAATTACTTTACCAGAAAAGGGACGTTGAGTTTGTTTTGGTTTCATCCACAAACAAATGTACAAGATTTCTGGAATTTTATCAACAACTTGGTTTTTTGCGTCCTTTGATACTAGAAGTAATTTTTCAGGAAGCCTTGAACTTAGATTTCTTGTTTCTTAGTATTTATCTACAACATGTAGTGGCCACATTAAATAGATCTGTTCTCAGTGGAATCCAAACCATTTTTTCATTTCTCTATGCTCTTAGTGGAAAATACAGCTTCAAGCTTGAGTTCTGAAGTTTCAGTTGCCGTTGGCTCTACTTCTACAGGGTGGGGTTGTTACCATCGTGCGCAACCTCCTCTCATTACGCAGCTTACTACTGCTTCAGTGGGATTTAGGAATACATCGGCCAGGAATCGAACCCAGAACCTGTGCGTGTTTGGTAAGCATTCTACCACTAAAACACCAAGGTAATAAGTGTATCGTTAAGCTATTGAGGTCACAATCGACTTCCTGTAGGAATGACTGATCTGGTTACTATCTTTTGACTACTTGTCTAGCTAAAACCTCCTCATAATCACATAATGAAGAAGAGGTAATGCATGTAACAAAACAAACAGTTAGTAAAAACTGATCGTTTATTGTTCACCAACAATTTGATGATATATATTACATAATAAAGCATGATGAATTAAATAAAGTATAATATTATTTGGTGCATAAAAATATTGCTTCATATGGACTTTGGTCAGTTATCACAAAATGTTAAATATTTTCTATATTACTGATGCAAAGTGATGGGTTTCAAGCATGTGTCGATTAAAATGAAGATTTAAAAAAAAATCAAAATAATGGGGAAAAAAACTTTTGCTGGAAAATAATGTAATGCAACGTAATGAGTGATTGTGCTGAGAATGACTGTCACTCCCTGTCCCTATGTATGCACACACCCAAACTATCTGCTGCCCTCCATGACATTGGTGGATGAAAATTACGTTTCAAAGATAGACGATGTGTGAAAAGCAATAGAAGTGGAGTTAAACGATGGATAATTTTGTCATAAAATGACGGTTTTCAAAAATTAGTAAAATGCAATAAAAATGTAATAGGTGAAATGTCAAAAAGGTATGTACTGAACTCTATCAAAAAAATACACTTGAATATATGTATATGTATATAATATGCAGTATGGTGGTGCCCTCCTTGAAATTCTGAAAGTAAGAAATGAAGTGCAGAAATTAGTTCAGTCAAGTCTACAGAAAAAAAACCAACTGGATGATTAAATAATCGACATACAGTGAATTCTCTGCTTTAAACATGTCAATACTACAGAGTCTTAGTCACTCGTTCAGTTATGCGGAACCAGTTTTTCATATACATGTATGAGTCATACTTATCATTACCACACTTTTCTAAAGATGCTATCAAATGAAAGTCAAGTACCCAGCCATAGTTTGCTTAGTTGATATAGTAAGCATAAAATCTATTATTAGAATATTATTATTCCCTTCAGTTTTCGAGTGGAATATCTCCATTTCATTCTCGCCTTCTAAACTGGATTCGCGATTACCTATAAGCTTTCATTTCCACCTCACATTATCTCCCCCAAGCTTAAATCGCCGTCTCCCATTGAAATACCACTCAAGCGTGATGCCACTCAACAGTTTCTTCAGTACAATATGCTCAATCTGTTTCTATATATTTGTTAGGCGACAGGTTCTTCGTTGGTTCATTGCCAGAGTTCCATTGTATCTCAATCTTTCTGGTCGGCCATCTAATCGTCAGCACAAAGCGGAGGTAAATGTTGATGAAGGCCTGCTGAAAAGGTTTCTCACAACAAGCCAATTCTCTGAAACATAAAAGCACTGACATGACATTAGTGTTAAAAACCTGAATCTGAATTCTTCTGCTGATTGCAGCAGATTTCTACACTGATTTCAGAGTAATCAATGCCCGTCTTGCCTTTCCGATCCTGCCATTGACATCCTCATGCATTCTGCCTGTAGCTGAAACAATGCTACATGAATAAGTGGAACAAGTAACTTCTTTTAGGTTTCCCTGATTGATGCCCCATTGTTGTTGGTTGGGTATCCTGTTTTCCCTGCCTGTAGACCTTCGAGTTCGTGTGCGGGATGAGATCAGCTTAAAGATAACAAACAAGGAGTGTACTTATACATACTAATCAAATTAGATTATGGCTAGGACTTAAATAGATTCATCTGAAAACCAGTAATCTTATCGTTAAAACTAACTAGAACTTTTTATGCATGCATACGATGCTGTTTGTTCATCTATAAGAATCTATCAGTTTGGAAATAATTTTTTCCAATTACTCAATTGTCTTTATTTAACAAATGATGCATTAAAAGTAAACTTAATTATTTAGCAGTATAAGATTTTAAAGTCAAGAGTATTTTGCGGGATGTGTAACAACAAATTGCGTAATATTTTCACCAAAACAATGAACTTACAGTCTGTTGATTTTAAATCATTGGTCACAGATACCCACTGTTCATTTTCTGCGATAATCTGGTTTATTTCATCACTTCGAGCAAGACAGAAGTCGTCAACCTGAAGTGAATAAAGACGAGAGGAATTCTCAGGCACCTAAATCATCGAATACGTTCTGAAACAAAATTACTGAATTGTTATCATTAATTCAACTATTGTTATATTTTGGGGGATTATTAATTCAGGCGAGACAAAATTTCAGAAACCTGAATGTATGAAGAACAAGACAGAAGTGATAGAGCAACAAATCACACAGTTTCTGAAATGAGTGAAGAATGATTCATTACTGACAGACAGCCGAGTTACAGGAAAGGATAAGACGATCTGGATCGGTCATTCCTCGACTATATGGTCTGCTTTCACCTGGATGTATGCTCCCTGTTTACTAATGTTCCATTAAATGAAACAGTATGCTTCATTTGTAATTACATCGACTTACATAATGTGAAATGCTTACATCATACCTGAAAAAGCTCATACTTCGATGTACTCTAAATGTTCACTTTCCTTTCAACAATGAAATCTCTAGACAGAGACATGGAGCAGCTATGAATTCGCCACTTGGTCCGCTGCTGGCAGACTTCTTTTTGGCCAGTATGGAGAGCAGTTCTCTTGCGCCTCCTATAAAGAGGCTTAACTTTTACAAACGATACGTGGATAACACGTTCACTATATGTGACGAAAACTGTGATTTGGACGACATCCTGAAAGTATTTAATGACAGTCATCCTGCTATCGGGTCCACTTTAGAAAAAGAAACTGATGGAAAGATATCTCTTCTTTATGTACTACTCACAAGGAGAGCTGATGGGTCTTTGACGATATCTATTTACAGAAAATCGAAGTGGACAGGACAACTGACCAATTTTTTCAGTTTTGTTGCCATAGAAAGATGAATCTCATCCGTTCTCTCTCAACACGGGTCCGGAGAATTTGTATTCAAAACAGTGTCGATGAACTCACACAGTGGGAAGAAACCTTCGTAGGAAGTGAGTAAATAGCAAATTACGTGAAAGAAATACAGAGAGGGACAAGGTAGCTAACAAAGTGTTGCACATAAACTTGGAGTATCATTAAGAAAAATGCTCTTTGTTGCCACTTTACTTTTGCAATTCACTAGTGCACCTTAATGTTAAGTAAATGTTGCCTCGACTGTCTAGTTCTATGTGTATTTATACAGTCAACTACTCTTAAGGAGCTAGGTACACGGGACGTTCGCCGAGAAACATAAGCTATAGCTTGCTAAGCATAGGTATTAATTCATCGATAGTGAAACATATTGTAGATGCTGATCACGCAGCATCTGATATATCCTTCAATATAGTCGACAAAGTTTACCGAAAGGGATACGACTATACATGCTTTGTATGGCGCGGAGGCTTTGGCAATACATAACATAAAGACAGAAAACAATTTTTACGATCTCTCCTTCGTTACCATGCTCTTAATTTCACTATATAGTTCACAAAACCTTTGTTATACTTCTGTATTCCCCGTTCCATTTTGCTTTGTTTTATTTTATTTCACTCTATGTTATCATATTCTAGCATTTTATCTTGTCTACTAATTTGACAAAATTTCACTCATCTCATGTTTCCATCATATTATATCCACATTCCCGAATGTACTTACATTATTTATTGGATTCATATGTCTAATCCATTTTTGACTTATAGTTGTATACACCAATACTATCTGACTTTAGTCATTTCTAGTCACTGTCAAAACCTCAACACACGCACTCGAAAGAAAACTGACTACCATTGTCTATTGTAATTCATATATATATATATATATATATATATATGCAGTGTATAAATATGTAGAAAGACTTTCCAGTGCATAGTTAACTTCGGACGATTGTACAACTATGAAAGTGAAATCGTCGAAAAGGGTACTTTCTTCTCTGGATTCTGTGTCTTACAATACTACTACTAATAATAATGAAAATCAGTACATTCAATCATGTTGTTTTTCATTATTCTTGTTATCACAGATCGCTCCACTTTTTCCTTTTTGTTTTTTATATAGTCACTATTATATTATTATTATTATTGTGGATAATTGCAGAATATACACGCACAACCTTTGTTTTATGTTTTAACGGGGATTATTAGTTCAATTTGAATATCAATCCCCTAAGATGCTGTTTTTAGCTGAGATTTTCGTTAATCAGTGGGACTTCGAATCTTCAGTAATTGGGGTGGTTGGGATTTATGTGTCACCCCATTTAGCTAGACTATGATGTGGAGAGGTGAATATTGAGTCACATAGATTCTCGGGATGATAAAAGCTAAGAGGGATCAGAAGCAATCCGTAAAGATATCTCTATCACTACTACTTCTGTGATCAAATATAAGTAATAAAGCAATAAGCAATGGTAACATTAAAAAAACAACTTACTAACTGTAGTTCTTCACTACATAATCTTTCAAATTCAGAATGCCAATGTAAACTTTTCTCTACATCTTTACGTATTGTTTTAAGTATTTTACACATTTCATGTAAATTTGCTATCACTTTGTGCTGTTGGTATTTAAGAATATGATTAAAATACGGTTCATATTTTATACGTAGTTGACATAATAGATTTCGCTGTTCGTCTAAATTTTCATTCACACACATACGTGCTGCATCAACTTTATCACGAAATGTTCTTGCAGTTACTTCATTATGATTAATTTCACCATCTGTACGATACCATTTGGTTAGTGTTTCAACTAACAGACAGAAATTGTAGGATAAACGATAAGTGTTAAGTGAATTAGAAAAAATAACTATAAAATTATAATGGCAACTGGAAACATTCAAATATGCTGTATTTTTCAGTTGTTTTGAACAATGCATTCATTTACAGTATTACAAATTTCAGCTAGTTTTTATTTGCTCTAATATCTACTGCTTACGCAGAATCTTTGATCAAAATAGTAATTCAGAGTATTATAATTATTACTGTCACCTTTATTTCCCAGAGGAACATAAGGCTTCAGCCGCACGTCCCCATTGCGTTCGGTCCTCCCCCAACGTTTCCACCTGGCTCCACGTCTGCCCACATGCTTTCATCCCCTCCTCCATGTAACCCTCGCACTGACTACCAACTAACTCGCCGCTTCCCATTCGGATTCCACTGGAGTGATGGCCTGGCGTGTGATGTAACTTGATGGTAGGGCCAGTCCAATCCACCTCCATTTCTTCTTGCATATTTGTTGCACAATTGGTTCCTGGTTGGTTCACTCCCAGAGATCCCTGTTGCTGATCTTTTCTGGCCATCCGATCTTGAGTATTGAGCAAAGACAGCTGTTGGTAAAAATCTGTAGTTTGTTTGAACTGCCCTTCGTGACGCGCCAAGTCTCTCATCCGTATAGTAGCACTGACTTCACATTGCAGTTGAAAATCCGGATCTTATTTTGCATGCTGAGTAGTGCTGCTGATCTCCACACAGACTTGAGAGTAATGAAAGCTTGTCCTGCTTTCCCGATACCCGCGCTTTGATATCCTCATCAGTTCCGTTCGCCTGTAGTTGAAACTATGCTTCTTAGGTCGGTGGGTAAAGCAGGTTGCTTCTTTCAGATTCCTCCCATTTATTCTGATTGCTGTTGCTGTTGGCCAGGAATCTTCATCACCTCTGTTTTCTCTATGTTCACCTGAAGTCCTATCTTCTCTGGATGCTTCTTTGCCAACTCGTTGCTTTTCACTTGCATATATTCCAGTTTCCGGGAAATCAGACATATATCATCGGCGAAGTCCAGATCCTCCAAGTTTTTTGTGTTGGTCCATATTATGCCTGTTTCCTCATTTCCCTCTGTCTGTCGGATTATCCAGTCTACCGTAATCAGGAAAATCATAGGAGATAGTAGGCAGCCTTGTCTTACTCCCATCTTCACTTCGAAGGATTCCGTGAGTTTCCCGTTGTGGATTACTTCGCATGCAGCATTACCGTACAACTGTTGGATGAGATGTATAATTGTCGGCGGCACTCCATAGTAGCGAAGTACTTTGCAAATCCCGATCGACGCTGTCGAACGCCTTTTCAAAGTCAATGAAGTTGAGATAGAGAGGTGACTGCCATTCCAAGCTCTGTTCAATGATGATATGTAGTGTTGCGGTTTTATCTATGCATGACTTGTTTCCCCTGAATCCAATCTGGTCCGGTCGAAGTTTTTAATCCAGGGTGTGTTTGATTCTCCCCAGCATGATGCGGTTTAGTATTTTGCTTGGGACAGACAGGAGCATAATTCCGCGCCAATTCTCACATTGACTCAAGTCTCCTTTCTTTGCCAGTTTGAATAGATAGTCTTTCCTCCAATCAGCAGGTACCTTTCCCTCTTTCTACACCTTCTTCAGTAGTGGTGTCATCAAGTCCGCTGATGTCTCGGAGTCCATTTTCAATGCTTCTGTGAGGATTCCGCCTGGTCCTGCTGCTTTTCCAGATTTTAGCATTTTTATAGCCTTCAGGAATTCTTCCGTCGGAGGGTTGGTATCCACTGGTAGTTCTGGTTCCGCTGTTGATATTATTGGGCGCGTTGCAGGTGGAGGTCGATTAAGAAGTTTTTTTTAAGTGTTCAGCCCAGTGTTTCCTGTGCTCCACCTCTTTGGTGATTGTCTTTCCATTGTCCCCTTCACTGGCCTTATTTGTATTGATCTCTTCCCAGATGGGAACTTAGTTGTTTGGTAGAGAACTGTGAGGTCTTCTTGGCCTACAGCTTGTTCTGCTTCACTTGCCATAGCTTCACAATATTGTCTTTTGTCTTCCCTGGCACTTTTCTCTAACCTTTTGTTCAGTGTATTGTAGCCTGCATTCAAATCCTGTTTTTGTTGCTCGGCGATGCACTGGATAATCTTTTGTTTCCCTATCCTTCTCTTTTCTATCAGTCTCTCCTTGAAAGCTTTTAATTTGATGTGGAGTGTTCCTTGCACGAGATAGTGGTCTGAGCCGACGTCTGCTTCTCTTCTTACTTTTGTATCCAGTAAGCTGCATCTCCACTTCCTTGAGTAGCATTGATATGAAGTCAATTTGGTTTTTGGTTCGCCCGTGTGGTGGTGACATCCACTTAATCTTGTGGATATCCTTGTGCATGTATACGCCGTCGCCAATCACTAGTTCATTGAAGGTGCAGAAGTTAGCGAAGAGTTCTCCGTTTTGATACTCAAATCAAAAAGTTCTCCGTCTTCATGCATCTCTCTAAGTGCTTCTCTACCCATAATGAGTTCTTTTCCTGTGTTGTCTGGTCTCAGTTCATTGTTCATATCGCCCATTAGGATTTTAATGTTACTGACTGGATGATTGTCCATTGTTGCCTGTAGTTGCCTTTTGCACTCTTCTTTCTTTTCTAGGTCTGCAATGTTTGTGGGTGGATGGCACTGTATAATTGTCACTCTCCTTCCTTTTGAGTTGAATCTGGTGTTCATCATCCTGAGCGAGATCGCTTTCCATTGTTACGGGGCCTTCGTTAACGTTGATGCCATCGTGATAGCCTCTGCTTTCACATATTCCCAGTACTTCAGTGACATATCTCTTCATCTCATTTGCAATTGGGGGCAGCTTTGCCAGTCTCGTACATGGTGCGTACGTACTATGTCCCCACACAGACATTTTGTTTTGTCGCAAGGAGTCTCATCGTGCTGAAGTTTCTGTAGTAACTTTGTTTACAGGGTGGGGTTGCTAGCCTCACGCCTGAGAAGAGGGTTGTTACATGAATGCATAGTTTACAGAGGAGCGACCTTATTTTTTGATCCAGGAAAACAAGGAATAAAGCAATCAGAACAGCACCAGCAAAAGTAAAAAATTCACAACAGGAAGGGCAGCGACCACAGCAAAAATACCCGTAGCATTAGTATCACTGTCAAATACTAATAACAGAAACTGACGAATAATAAGAATAGCACAATAGGAGGGAGGGTTAATGTTTTCCAGATTACCAATCCAGAAAAAGATCGGGTTCAGACTATTGAACATTCTCTTCCATTCTACTTGACTTGACTGACATCTCTTTCAGATGTGATGAAAACGAATTTGCATAAGAAAAGTGAGTGTCAGTGATTCAGCGTTAGAACGCTCCCCAACCCCGCTTCACGTAACTTGGGGTTCTACCCTCGGCTGACGCACTTCTCCTAGACCTTCCTAAGTTGATAGTAAGGCCAGTAAAGACGGAAGGTTGAGCGTGAGATTAACAACTCCACCCCGTAAAAATAAAACCACTGCTACCGAAACTTCAAAGCTCTAAATGGAAGCCCTATGCTCCACTCAGAAGGTAAAGGAATAAAATTTAAAAAATAACGAGAGAAGGACTTGAATCGGTTAATATAAAGACCTTCAGGTATAGAGTCAAAGCTATTTGTTCAGAAGATGTGATTGAAAATGAACTAAAGGTTGTATACAACAGTTACCTTGAAAAGTTCATCAAAAATGCTTAGAATTCATTATTTTCCAATCTCCTTTATAGCGCTCACGTTCAATAAAGTTCCTTTTGGTTTTTCCAGTGCATTTTAATGCCTTTACAAACTAGTGATATTTCATAATTTTCAAGCTACTAAAATTATATTTGTATAAATTTCAGCGATATAACTTTCATGTACGACTACTTTTCACTCAGCAGTGCCCAATATTTGTAGCACTATTCGTTCAAATCTTAATCAGACTTTACATAAATGATATTATCATTGTTAACTATTTTCAAAAGTGTTATGATTTAATAAAAGGCTAATAAGAAAAATAAGAACAATACATACGGTATCAATAACACTTACTAAAATTCGGTGGTAAACAAACCAACTCCCACATTTTTATGACATCATTGCGCTGACATTTATTCACTTCAAGTTGTTCCCAAATACGTATTAAATCTTTACGAATATTTTCTATTTCCTCGATAATGCCTATCTCTTCAGCCTCCAAATTTGACTGAATATAGGCTAGAATTTCATTTTCAGGCATGTTCAATGTTTGAAAGCTTGCTTCGTGTTGTTTGAATAAAGATATCACATCCAAGTCTTTTTCAGACACCTTTTATTGTTATTATCATAAGAGATTATTAAAACGATATAGTGAACAAGAAAGGATACAATTTATTGAACGCATAAATAACTGAAAGCAAGTTACAGGAAAAAAGACCTAACAAATGTTAAACGATGCATCCAATATAAATGAAAACTAACAAAAACTTCCGCCTTCCAAAGAAAGACCAGAAATCACTACAAACTGTCTCATAAACAAAATTTCTGGTCTCATATGTTGGCGGTTCGATGGTATAAGGCTTGGCAACCACGCGGAAGATTCTAGTTTGATTCCCATCCGATGATGAACATCTAAAGCACGCCTAATTTATCAGTCAGTGGGATATAGAGTGTGGAACTGCCATCCCCACACCGTGTAAATAAAACCATTGCTAGTGAAACTTCAGAGCTTAAAGCCCTATGCTTCACTCGGAACGCAACAAATAAATGTAGGAAATAATAGCGATGTGACAGAAAACACGCTAAGATTTAATGTATGTGTCCCGAGAACGCTCAAATACCTAATCATAATCAATCACAGAAACTTTGTGTTTTACAGGCCTTTCTAAATTTTGTGTTTCTAGCTTGAGAATCCACTGACATTTAAAAATGCTAAGATTAAGTAACAATGAGATAATATATCATTGGGATGACTGCGCACAGACCATCACCCACTAATAAAATAGGTGGTGATAGAAGGTGAAGGGTCACGACAAGATTCGACTCAGAGGCCTCCAGATTACTAAACTGAGACTAGTGGAAGCTGCTTTTACTTTCGTAAATAAAGTATCTAAGGTCTGGTAGTACTTTTTTTTAAACAATATGGATAATATTTACAGTACTATGTCACACTAAATACCAAAAGGATGCATGGATTCTTATTTTCCCCTTTAGTACACACTGGAAAGATGTGGGATGCGTAATATATATTGGCAGTGAACGTTTACACAAAATAACAAGTTTTGATTTTAAACTTATTAAGGTGAACATTACACGAACTCCGTCTGTTGAGAAAAAACCGCCTAATGTAACTATCAAACTTCGTGGCTGATTGAAATGGATGAGGATTCAGAGTAGTCAAACCAAAATCATAGAAAGTGCAATACTTTTATGACCAATTGACCTACACCTTGTTGTGAATTGTAGTATACTCTGGGGAACTTATCAACGCCGTCCTAAATGATGATAATACTAAACCCAATAGTTCAGTGATACCACATGTCTGATTATCTAAATAGGCATAACTATCCTCAAAGCTGTAAAGGCGTATGTTTACAAATACTAACAAACACGGGGCCTACATTTACGTCTATGCTGATTCCTCGTATAAACAACGGAACACCGTTTTTCTTTGTCTACCTTTGAAACATTTAATTTTATAAATAGGTAAGCCCATAATAGAAGACAGAAGTTAGAATACATGGAGTGGCCATTGGATAGGGTCCTAGTGTAACAACAGAAGACAAGGGCCAGGCAACAGAACGTTTATTACAGAAAATCAACACGTATTTATAGATTTTGATGTACATTATTGTAGGTTAATGTTAGTAGAAAATACAGTCTGTTGATTGGTTGTTTCTCACACAAAGTTAACCTTGCATCTCTTGTGGCTGTGTCAGTTCATCTATATGTTAACTGTATCCGCCTGTCCATCTTGACCTTTGACCTCAATTACTGTCAACCAATTTGGTTAGTAGACAGCTCTCACCACACTAGAGGCTTAATGGTCTACGAGTTCGCCTTGTAATCAGAAGATCCTGGGTTCGAACCCCGGTGGGTGCGTACTGCCGAGGAGTTTCAAGATAGGACGAAACATCTGTCCAGTACTCCCTGTTGATTTTCCAATGGTTCTCTAGCCGGTGTCAGTTCATGATTAAATCCTCGAACCAATCAAACAAAATCCCTACAAACCAATACTTGAAAATTTACAATAAGTTAACAACATAGACAGGCAAAAGAAAATTATGTACACTTAATTTTTATGACTATATGATGTTTCTACAACATTAATGTGAAAATCAATCAGATCGACTAGTTTTGAATTTGTATTACCTATTTAACAAAATACTCCTCAGTAGATATCTTCATGCATACAATGATTCCCAAAATTTCTGGTAATACTATTTGTGTAAACCCACACTAGATGGAGGCGTGGGTGGGTCGACTGTAGGTAGAATGCTTTGCCAGTCATACAGCAGATCTTCATATAAGAGATTGAAGGAACACATAAAATAATAATTCTATTTGTTACATCGACGATAAGTTATTATGATAAAGCATTCTTTGAAATTAATACAAATCAAATCAATAACTTTAATTTGATAACTTGAATCATTTTGTTTACTTTGAGAATATGAAATGTAAGTAAAACATTTACATTCATTATACACATACCAGTTGTACAGATAGACGTATTTTATCAATTTTTTCACGAAAACTAGCATTCAACTTTTCTGATGGTTCACGAAACAAAACATTAGTGTAACCAGTTCGAAAAGCAACATCATTGTTTTCTTCTTTACGTAACATCTCTTCTATCTAAAGTAGGATGGAGAAAATTTTTTTAAGATATTAATCTGAACGAGTAGTGTACATAGATCAGAAGATTTGAATTTACACATGCTGCAACTTTAAAAATAAATAATAATGTGGAACCAGATTAATTCACCAGCATAAAAGTAGGCTATACCAATTGTACTTCAGTACTATGGAGTGTCGCAAATATTTGAAAACCTCATTCAACAGCTATATATGATGATGGCACACGACAAGGAATTCACAACGGAGAGCTTAAAAGATAGTTTGAAATGAAGACAGGAGTAAGTTGGGACAATCTGCCATCGCCGATGATCTTTTTGACCGCGACTGAGTGGATCATAAGGCAGACGCGAGGTGCGAGAAACACGATATACTTCCGACCGACAAAAAGACCCTAAAGGATTCCGATTTCACAGATAAGTCATGTCTCATATCACACAGACTTTAAGATTTACAGGTGAAAACCAACAAGTTGAGATAAAAAGCAGCGAAGACACGACTACAGGTGAATATAGATAAAACATAAGTGATGAAGATACTTAACTAACAACAAAAATCACCGTTAACATTAGGAAGCCGACATTTTCACCTTACATCCGTGTTTTATTCCTTTCAATAAGAGCTTTACAATTTCGGTAGAAGTGGTCTTATTTTTACAGCGAGATCTAGGAGTGCATCCGCCGAGGATCGAACCCTGGACTACATGAAGCGTGGTTGGCGAGCGTTCTACAACTGAACCACCGATACACACCTTGAATTCCTATACAGCATTATTTCCACTTAGAGCAGCACGAATGGAAATCTCAAAGGCACTGAGGTTTGGATAGACAAAACAAGACAGGCGTTCATTACTCAAATTAGTGAGGGTATCTACAGTACTTAGTCAGCAGAGAGGAAAAAACTCGGATAGTCTAACACTATTGTCTAGTCAGTGCTTCTGTATGCTTCAGAGACATGGGGCGCGCGTCATCAGAAGCACTTACAATAGTGATATCAGTAAAATATAATACGCTTGGAAATAAGACGAGTGTTGTTAGTCATTAAGATAGGGAATCATCAAATCATTAAGCTCCAGTATTATGTCCCATCAGAAATTGTTTAAACTCTAGGCTAACTAATTCATATGAAATGGAAAGAAAACTAAGTGACATTCAATTAGAGAATAATGAAAAGAAAATGGTTAGTTTTCATATAACTAGTATTTACACTAATATTCCAATCAATATCACCTTAGAAGCAGTTGAAAGGGAACTAACTGCTGATTCTGAACTTACTCATAGGACGAAGCTACCCATTGAGGAAATTATTTTAGGAATCCGATTATGCCTCATATCTACTATCTTTAAATTCCAGGGCAAAATATATAAACAAACAGTAGGTGTAACAATGGGATCACCAATATTCCCAATTGTAGCAGGTATCTCTATGGAAAGCTGGGAAAATATAACTCTTAATACATTTAATCCTACTCCAAAAGTATGGTGGATATATGTGCGTGACACTTCCACAGTATTAAAACAGAAAGTATCTCTAGTTTCTTCACACACATAGTAAAGGGAATAAAATTCACATTTGAATCAGAAAATGAACAAGGAGAATTAGCTGTGTTAGGTTGTAAAATAAAACGAAAGGAAAAAGGCAAACTTCACACTAGCGTTTATAAAAGGCCAACACATTCTAATAGATATTTGAACTTGAATTCATCCCATCCGTTATCTGTAAAGCTGGCTTAGTTAAGTGTATAACATACCGAGCAGTAGCACTAAGTAGTATGAGAAAAGACCTAAATGAAGAAATGAAACAGATAGAAGACGCGTTGGTGTTGAACAGCTATCCTATGAAATCCATTAGGAACAGAAGCGAAATAAAAACAATAGTGAAACTAATATTGATAACACAAATAAGAGAGAATATACGGCATCTACGGTTTCACTATATAAGAGGAAGACATCTGGGACCCTATATAGGATTCGTAATAAAGCAGGAATTAGGGTGGCATTTAAACCCAAAAAATCACTCAGGGACAAGCTCTGTAGGTTAAACGACCCTGTTGATCCAATTAGACAAAGTAACATAATTTACAAAACACCTTGCAATGACTGTGAGGTCAACTAGATAGGCCAAACTAGTAGATCAGGTGTAGTGAGATTATCAGGACATGAGAATTTAGCCAAGTGCAGAATGATTGACCCCACGAAGATAAGTAATTTAGAAAAAAGCCCGGCGATTGCAGTGCATGCATTAACACACAACCACACAATAGGGTGGGAGAGGGTTAAAATTCTAAAAAGTAGGTAATATAGGTAGGTGGAGAGAGAGGTTGATTACTGAATCCTTGCTCATTGAGTCTACACCCTTCGCGTGCAATGGGAATGACTCATCACTCATACCGGAAATATGGAAAATACTACTACCAATCAAGTCAAGCGATGAAAAATAATGGAATTATACAAAGGAAGTTAGAAAGTTGTGTGAGTGACTTGATATGATCATGAGCAATAAATTGTGCTCGAAGCGTCATCAGTAAGTATTACTGTATAACACTGTGTGACTTTATCAGAATAAATTTTACCCACGATTGAATTATACTCTGCTACAGTCCATAAGTTGTTGTCTTACATCAACGCCGTTTGTAGACTGAATGTTTGTTTTTAGTCATTAAACTGTTCGCCAAGAAAGCCAAGGTAGTTTATATATGTGGAAACCTAAGTCTTTTTTATGTAGTTTTGTTGTCGTATATAAGTATAAAACTTATTTTGATAAATCACACAGTGTTATACAGTAATATTAACTGAATCAGTTTTGTTCTCTGAACTTGATAGTTAATTTGCGAAGCTTTCATCGCCCTACTAGGCGACATCTTGACCTCATGCTTCAATTTGAAGTGAGCTTTTACATTTCTCCATCAGACAATACACCTGTTGACTGCGTAGTCAACCTATCAAAAATGGAACAACAACAACTACGAAAAGGATAAAACTACAACACTGGAGATGCTTCGAAAACTGATTTCTTCACTGCCCTTGAATCATTACTCAAATTGTCAAACTTGAACGAGGAAAAACAGGAAGAGATACGCCAAACAATTGTGCTAATGGTCAAAGGGAAAAAATAACACACACAACTCAACTCTCAAGAAATAAGGCCGCTGAAAAAGCTGAAAAATAGAAAGGACACCATCATTCTACCAGCTGACAAAGAAAGAAAAACAGTAGTCATGGACAGAGAAGAATACATCAAGAAAGCTGAAGAACTACTCAAAGACGAGGATGTATATCAACAACTCCCATACAAACATTAAACAACTGCATCCAAAGAACCTTAAACAAGGTCATCAAAACTGGACAGATCACAAAACAAGACCAATGGTGAATGAAATCCACAGACCAGTGCTATCCCAATTCTACGGCAGACCCAAACTACACAAGCCAAATATCCCGTCACGACCAATTGTATCACTCCCAGGAACTCCAACATATAATTTATCCAAAGAATTATACAGAAAATTGAAACACTTAACGGAATCTTATGATCAGTCCATCAACTCTGCTATCCAATTTCTAGAGAAAATTGGAGTCATCCAAATAGATGAACAAGAAATAGTGATATCCTTTGAAGTCACAGCATTATATACCTCAATCGGACAAAAACTAGCAAAAGAGACCATGGAGCAACTACTCAGCAACGACGAACACCTCCAACAGCAATCAAAAGTGCAACACACAGGCTGGATGGAATGCATAAACCTATGCCTAACAACGTACTTCCAATTCAATGGCCAAATATATGAACAACTCAAAGGAACACCCATGAGATCGCCAAAATCAGGTTTGATTGCAGAAGCAGTGATGCAAAGGCTCGAAAACGTAATCCTACCAAAGATCAAACCCAAAATTTGGATACGTTACGTAGACGACACATTTAGAATAAGCAAAAGAAACGAGTTAGATAAAACTCACAATTTAATAAACAACGTCTTCAACGACAAAAACACAAGAGAAGAGGAATCCGAGAACAAAATTTCATTTTTGGACGCCTTAGTCAAGCGAACAACCGTAGGAGAATTAGAAACTCAGGTTTATAGAAAATCAACTCACACAGACCAAATACGGAATTACAGCAGCAACAATCCAATAACACACACAAGGAATTGTATACAAACACTATTCAAGAGGGTCAGGACTCATTGTAGCACTCCCACCTTAAGGAAAATTGAAGAAAGATATCTCATGGACGTCTTCCAAAAGAATGGATACCCACGGAATTTCATCAAAAGACATATACCTCCAAGCCAGCCTATCAAACCAAAAGCGCCCAAAGAAAGCACAAAGAAAATCGCCCTACCATATATACAGGACATCTCAGAAATCACTGCGAGACTCTTCGAACCTTTAGGAATTGACGTCGCACACGAACCAACAAAATCACTTCACTCAATTCTATGTCAACCAAAAGACTCAACAACGAAAGAAGATAAAACCAACATCGTCTACAAAATAAATTGTAACAACTGCGACAAACACTACATTGGCCAAAGTGGACGTCGTCTTCGTCTTCGTATCCACGAACATAAGCTAGCCGTCAAAAGACATGGCATCCACTCCCTCATATCACTACATACAGACAACCCCGGACATCAATTCGACTGGGATAACCAGTGTTGAAATATTAGACAGAGGAAACAAGAAGAATGCTAGAGAATTTTTAGAAGCCTGGTATTCCAGTGAATCGTCAATCAACAGACACAACGAGATAGACAAAATTCACCAACCGATAAGAAGGAAACCTCACACACAGAGGGTCAAAGTTCAGGTCAAAGAAACAATCAGTTCCAATACAAGTAGCCTAGATAGTTTGAAAACACACAAAAACAACCAATCACGTCTAAGGTCACCAGGAGAGATGATTAATAAACTCGTGGAGAAATGTAAAAGCTCACTTCAAATTGAAGTATGCGGTGAAGATGTCGCCTAGTAGGGCGATAAAGCTTCGCAAATTAACTATCCAGATCAGAGAAAACAACCACATCAAAATCATCCACCTGAGCTACAAATCTTCTCCATCATATGGAAATCTAAGTAGTTTTAACATGACTCACACACTAATCGACTTAACAATTAATACCGAGTAAAATAAAAACTAAGGATAGATGGATTATAACACAGGTAATGGTTGTCAATTGAAAGTTGTAGGACACTAGGATAAAACTGTCAAGATATGTTAGAAACTAAAAGCTGTTGAACTTTGAAGACATGACTCTAAATCAGTCACACAATTCCTAAATGGTGACCAAAGTCTGTGAAATAAAGAATACAGTGTACCTTGTTTAACAGAAATGCTAATTTATATTCTTCAGTTATCGTATGCAGGTTTGTGTAATAAGCAATGGACCAAAAATTATAAAGTGAAAGCTGGTGATACTAAATGATCTTTCAAACTAATGTAAAGACCTGTGAAACTGGTTAAGAACATACTGTCTAAACCAATAAGGCATAAGTAAATGAAAAATTCAGTACAGAGGTAGAACACAATATATTGTGGCGATTTTTAAGAAAATTGATAAGAATTAAAACTGAAATAACAAAATTTCAATAAGTGTAACAATAACCTACTTCTGCAAGTGTTTTGAATCGGTCTTCCGCCATTGGTTTCAGTGAATAGACTTTCTCTCTTAAAGCCTCTAATCCACCAGAATTTCGAATTTTAGAAGATTCTTTCAAAATTGTTTCACAAATCAATTGAAATACACTGAGTTCTAATGAACGTGGAAAATTGTGTTTAGTCATTTCCCTGTTTTGAGAAAAAGGAACGAAGAACAGATAAATCAACAACAGTTCATAAGAAAATGTCTTTGATATTGTGTCTCAGATATATATATATATATATACGCTACCTAACTCCATTAGGAATGGGATATATTCGAAGTGGGAACAAAAAAAGTGTGGGGTTTTTGAGGTATGATTATATACGTAGGGTTTAGTGATCCGTATGGGTAAAACCCACAGTCATGTTTATAGAAGATTGTAATTGACACTGACCTTAACGTCAATGAAAATTAGATTACACCACGAAGACGAATGGTGATTTGCAAAAGAAAGAGTTGCGAAATAACATTATAACGCGCTTCACAACTTCACTTAAGGTTCACCAATCACTAGTTCACGTTTCCTTGTCTACCTTGTATTTGATGCTATATTAATATATTACGTACTGTTAGTGAGAATGGCTTGAGATACCCCTAAATACAACTCTTCTAGCCTCTTTCTATTCCGAATGTTCTGTGTGGAACATAGGGATTAGAACTTTATAAGTTTCACTTGAGTCGTTTTACTTGGTGAGCAACTCCACGCCGGCTAATAAACTGGGCGAAAATTAAGGGTACGTTAGTCGGGAATCTAACTCAGACAATGCGTGTAGCTGATGAGCATTCTACCATTGAAAAACGACACAGCAACTGCTAAAAAGCAAAAGAATTATTTCTACTTGAATATGACAACTACACAGGATGGACGAGAAGAGAGATTACCGTCAACAGATTACAATACAGTTGGCATTATAACCTTCATATGCATTCATTCAGATTACATTAGTCACCATATAAGTACTTGTATTTCCTAGTCAAATTAAAAGTGACAAATCTTTAAGTCAACACCATCTAATGAAACTTGAGGAATGAAAACGGTCTACTGGTTATTTTATCGGTATAAAATTGAAATTTTATAGCAACATACACACTTACCTCTCAAAAGTAATATCAGCATTCTTCAACTTGGTAAATTCCGAATTAACAATTGCTGTTCGTGTGTCGTTAGCAATAGCTAAACCTTCAAGAACAGGAAATGGAACCAACACTTCAAAAATGTCTTCTGGTTCTGGAAACAATAGCGGTATACGCAAGTTCTCCTTTGTTATGACATCATTGCTTAGGACAGGAGTTGCTTGTACTTCACTATTGGTTTCAATCTCATGTACAGGTGCAAAACTTTCTGACCAACGACGAGATGACAGACTACGCGTGAATCTAGAAACTAGAAGACCAGCAGATTCCTGTAAAAGCATATACATAAATGGTTACTCCAATTTGGATTATAATAACACTGACAAGAAAATTTAGAAAGAAACACTTTTATTTGATATTACAATAATATTACAAACTAAAATCAATGATAATAAATGCGACAAAAATGTAATTCTATATTCCCTGACTCACACCATGAGTTACTGGATGGCAGTTTATTGTGGTGCAATAAAAGTAGTAGTGTGGTGAGAGATGGTTGCTAACCAAATTGGTTGACAGTAATTGAGTTCAATGTTTATGTATCAAATATTAGTCATGTGAAAACAAGGTCAAGATGGACAGGCGGATACAGTTAACATATAGATGAACTGACACAGCCACAAGAGATGCAAGGTTAACTTTGTGTGAGAAACAACCAATCAACAGACTGCATTTTCTACTAACATTAACCTACAATAATGTACATCAAAATCTATAAATACGTGTTGATTTTCCGTAATAAACGTTCTGTTGCCTGGCCCTTGTCTTCTGTTGTTACAGTAGTAGTACCAGTAGTAGCAGTGACAGCAGTAGAACCACTAGTAGTACGAGTTGTAGTGCTAGAAGGAAATTTCTAGAGCCCAAGATTCGAACGAAGCTGAGACTAACAAATACCTGGAAATGGACAAAATCTCGTCCGCTCAAGAAGATAACAATAAAGAATCAAGAAGACAGATCGCCAACACCAAACACCATAAAATTTACACCACAACAAAAGTGCTTCCTATCATGGAAGCTCACAGCAATCGAAATAAAAAATGTTACTATCCTCAAAAGTAATACACAAATAATCCGAAGGATAGGAAAAACTGCCGACTGTCATTTGAGCAACCGTATCTTTCACTCAAGTTAGTGCTAAGGATGTCGTCAAGTGTTGTGATGAAACATCAATATATATATATATATATATATCCTCAAAAAGAGAAAACATGAGCGAACAGCTTAGAACTTTAAAAGAAATGATAAAAGGAGTATTATCATTAACACTATTACCTTAGCGTCCCTTTTGCATTTTCGTTTGTCTTCAACTAAATGAGCTGAGGCTAAAATACTGTAATACTTTTGTTTCGTTTTAATAACTCGCTGCCAGTCCTGTGGTGAATAATGATTATAAGTTAATCAAAGCTGAAACACACCCATACCTCAGGTAAACATTTTGCTATGTCTTCATCTTGTAAACAATTTGAAATGGCTGAAAATGAATCCAGGCACTTTTTATACAATTTATTGATATGATTTACAATACGTCGATATTCAGGTTCATCTAACAAAAAAATAAAAATATTAAAAAATAGTAAGAAGAGAAACTGGTAACTGATTTGACTCTTCCTAATAATAGGAAATATGCTACTTCTGTATAAAAAAAACGAATCAAGTAACTTAATGTGTAAATACTCCTGTTTTAAAGCCCAGAGGTAAACTGAAAATAAGGTAAATATATAAGGTTCATTAGGAAATGCATGATGAGTTAATAAGCAGGTTTCTCTTTACCGAAGGAGTATATTTATATTTTGAAATTTGTCGACTTTTTTCGAATCATCTGCTTGTACTCTTATATGTGTTAGGTACCTGTCACCAACTGATATGATATCGTCGACAGTTGATATGACCGAGTGGACTTATGCGTAGGTAGGTATAATAATAAGGACGCGATGAACAACTCAACTGATATGCTAGATACACCTTTTCTTCCCTAGTAACTTCAACTTTATTGAGCTAGGTAAATATCAAAAGACAAAGATTGGTCTGTGACTGCTAGCGTACAACTTTTAATAGGAAAAAAGCATATCATGTTTATATATTTTAGTCACAGTAAAATCTTAGTAATTTGAATATCCTCATAAATCATTTAAAAGAAAAATCTATTGATATTATTGACTCGATGTTAAACAACATTATTGTTAATAACAGTAATTCAATCAATATTACTTTTATATATATATATATATATATATATATATATATCGAAAAGAATAATCTTTGTTCAGTAATTCCATATTAGTTTTTTTATTAGATATATCACACAGTGAAACAGTATTATTTACTGGATGACGTTTCGAACAAAATTTATTGTTCATAATCATATCAATTATAATCACACGACTTTGACACTTGAGTTTTATAGTTGTCTTTGTTCTCTCCTATTTGTCGTATGGGCAGTAGAATTTTCCAGATATCGGGGACAGGTGATGAATCATTCCTATTACATGTATTTGTAGTTGATTCGATAAACAAAGCTTCTGTTATCAATCTCTCCCTATAACCTGTGACATTAGATTTTAAAACTGTCATCCTATCCCATCCTATTGTATGGTTGTGTGTAACTGCATGTAGTGCTATAGCTGAACTATTTTCTAGATTTCTTATCTTATTCGGGTCAACCAATGTAGATTTTGCTAAGTTTTTATGTTCAGCTAGTCTGACTGCCCCTGTTCTACTAGTTTGACCTATGCATTTGAACTGACAATCACTGCAGGGTATTAGATAAACTCAATTGTTTTGTTTTAAAGATTCTACAGGATCCTTTAACCGACAAAGCTTGTTTCTAATTGAGTTTGTGGGTTTGAATGCCGTTTTTATTCCTGCCTTGTTAAGAATTCTGCGTAAGGCTTCCGAGGTTCCTTCCTTGTATGGAATTACTACTGATGATTTAGATTCTTTATTGTTGGTGTCGTCATTAATATTATTATTATTATCACTATCATCATTATCATTATTATTATTATTATTATCACTATCGCTACTATCATTATTTATTTTATTTTTACATTTCCTTACATATTTCCTGACTAATTTATCCGGGTAATTATTAAGTTTCAAGGCTTCTTTTATGTGTATCAGTTCCTGTTTTATATTTTCTTTGGTACTACTTAATTTTTGTTTAATTTTGTTTGTTTAATTAAAATCTAATGTCACAGGTTATAGGGAGAGATTGATAACAGAAGCTTTGTTTATCGAATCAACTACAAATACATGTAATAGGAATGATTCATCACCTGTCCCCGATATCTGGAAAATTCTACTACCCATACGACAAATAGGAGAGAACAAAGACAACTATAAAACTCAAGTGTCAAAGTCGTGTGATTACAATTGATATGATTATGAACAATGAATTTTGTTCGAAACGTCATCCAGTAAATAATACTGTTTCACTGTGTGATATATCTAATAAAAAAACTAATATGGAATTACGTACTAACACAGTGCCCAAGTTTTACACATTTATTAATATAACTTTGTTCAGTAACCATTCTTTTTAAAAGAAAAATGGTTAAAGCGAACAACTGTTTTCCGTAAATTCTTCTTCCGGTTCTACAGTTATAAATCCACTAACTTTAGCCTGTATAGGCGAATTGCATTTATAACTGGAAATATATTCTGGAACATGTATACAATGGAATGGAATAACCGTCAGTTGGTTTTATTATTATTTAGAATATGCATAGTTACTAAAAAAAATGAGATGGAATAATTCAATGATGTGAGGGCATTGTATAGTCCATCAAAACTACAGGTTTCAAGGGTCAGTGTATTCAGTGATGTGTAAGACAATACGAGTTCAAGGGTGACAGATAACAATAATAATGATGGTCAAATTATAATAACGATTGTGTGGAGTGAAGCTTAAAAGTACTATTAGTGAACAATTAAAGACAAAGAATCCAGAGAAGAAAATTCCCTTTCTGACGATTTCACTTTCATAGTTGTACAATCGTCCGAAGTTAACTATGCACTGGAAAGTCTTTCTACATATTTATACACTGCATATATATATATATATATATATATATATATATATATATGAATTACAATAGACAATGGTAGTCAGTTTTCTTTCGAGTGCGTGTGTTGAGGTTTTGACAGTGACTAGAAATGACTAAAGTCAGATAGTATTGGTGTATACAACTATAAGTCAAAAATGGATTAGACATATGAATCCAATAAATAATGTAAGTACATTCGGGAATGTGGATATAATATGATGGAAACATGAGATGAGTGAAATTTTGTCAAATTAGTAGACAAGATAAAATGCTAGAATATGATAACATAGAGTGAAATAAAATAAAACAAAGCAAAATGGAACGGGGAATACAGAAGTATAACAAAGGTTTTGTGAACTATATAGTGAAATTAAGAGCATGGTAACGAAAGAGATCGTAAAAATTGTTTCCTGTCTTTATGTTATGTATTGCCAAAGCCTCCGCGCCATACAAAGCATGTATAGTCGTATCCCTTACGGTAAAGCGGTATGAAGCTATGAAAATGGGTGTACTGACGCGTTCTAGTCCTTCTAAATAGGCTTCTCTGTAGATGTCCGTCTATCTTCTTAGTGAGAAGGAAGTCGGCCTAGGACAGTGGAAAATGGGTTTCCTCTGATTAGTAGGCAATTCGGTTAGGTCCAGGGTAAATAAATATTCAGACTCGTTGATCGAGTGTCACGATAAAAAAGATGAAACTTTACAGTCATCAGATCACTAGGTGAGCCACAAGATGGTTACTGTTTTAACCACTCCCTATCCCCTCCCTCCGCAAATAATTATAGGACTTTCCATTCGGACGTGTTTGGAAAACTTTTGATTTATCGACCAAAAATAATTCCCATTGTAGATAACTGATTCCAGACATAACTATTTGGTGCTATATGATAAGGCAGCAAAAATCTATCCAGGATATCTCCCATTGGCCCCTTCCACTTCGTTTTCATGAAACACACTTAGGGGCATAAACGAAGTGTTCAGCTTGTTCATAGGATTGGGGTTAATACAGAACTGGACGTTCAGGGCGGAAACCCGGAGTAACGTTCGGCTTCAGAGGCGAAGAGACTTGGGTAAGCCTGCAGCAACCAATTTCTTCCTGCAAGACCGGAGTATGGATTTTGACGTAAGCGTTGCAATAGAGATTTATGTGATCCATGATTTGAAACAAAATCATTTGGTGATGATATTACATCAGAACATATTGAATTTAGTGGAACATTTTGAGATCAGGTTTATCTAACCAATCAACACCAAGTAAATTCAAATCATGGTGGTTTGTGAGATAACATACATTATGGAATTGATGCTCATCACACTGAATACGACAGTTGATCTCACTCGTGAGTTTTCGCATATCCCCAGAAGCATTCTTGGCGACATTTTGTGTCGGAAGAATCTATGGGCACTCAGGTGCGCGCCATGTGCTGCGGGAAATTAAAGTGATATCTGATGCTGCATCCAATTGAAGACGAATAGGTTTGTTGTTAACAGAAAGAGTAACATACTCTCTTCAGCTGGCAAAATCGACTTTGGACAATGCAAAAACAGCTTGTACCCAAGAAGGCTTTTGCTCCTTGAAGGAACCATGTTTGTTTCCCATAGAAGAGTTTGCCCTTGTAAACAGTAACCCTCTTTATGTCCAAGATGGTGTCATTTGCAGCACTTATGTTTTTTGAATGGGCAGAATTTGACAAAATGCCACGAACCAAAGTACCAGCATACTGACGGAGGCTTAGATAAATTCTGAGACTGAAATTCTGTGTGCTTAACAGCAGTCGCAGAAGTTTTTACTTCATTAATTGAGCTAAATTCACACTGGTCATTTGTGCAATATCATGCTTCAAATTGATTAAACACTGATATTCTGCTGTCACCACCTGTAAATTCATTTTCGTCGCTTGTTCTACGCTTGACAGAAGTCGAGTTCAAATGTCAGCATCTTCAGGATTTTCAAAACCACAAAGAAAAATCAAACATTTGAACTGATCTGATGTCATCTCATGTGGTTTGAATCTTTTACATTCCTTGTTCCCTTTGTCAGCTTAAGTGACATAATCATCGGAAAGTACTTTTGATAACTGTAGACATTGGCACCGAATACTGAACGTGGATGGTTGTTTGTAAGACATTTGGGATAAAACGGTGACTGCACCATCGAAAGATAATTCACGGGGACTTTTTGGCAGAGTGAAATTGAGATTTTTGTTGTGCTCGACAGTAGCAAGTTTTCGTAAAAATAATCGAATTTTGGCAGAATCATTGAACATGACACATTAAATACTAAGTCTTCGTAACGACTGAATTATGAATCGAATGCGAGACCAGATTATTGGATTATAACTGAACTCACTAATAGAATTCGAAATGCTTTCATGTTTATCTGCATGAGATGTAGAACGGACCTGAAATGACGGCTTCTAAGTGACAGCCTCGATTAATTTTAGTTGAGCTGCTTCATTCTGAGATTCCTGAAGTTGTAAGATAGACTTGAGATCATCCA